TTTCATCCGTTTCTGAATGTGTGTGCGTGCGTGCGCGCGTGTGTGCGCGTGATGTGTGCGTACGTGTGTTTGACCAATATCACAATCACTATCATTCCAACCATCATCATCCTCATCACTATCACCATCGTCATCATCATCGTCATCCTCTAACCGCGAACCAGGTGGAGTAGGATGGATGAACATGTTCACCCTGCAAACAGCACAAACGAACCAGCATCATGAACGACGCCATCAGGTCAAGGTCACATGACTCCAATGAATCTTTCAGCAGGTTCTCTGCCAACTCTTTTTTTAAATTTTATTTTCATCCTATCGTCCACACACACACACACACACACACACACACACACACACACACACACACACACACACACACACACACACACACACACCAGACACACACACACACACACACACACAAACCTCAACCGTTCTACCATCACATCACCGAATGACGTAATGTTATTATCACAGAAAAGAACTTAAAACCAACCGACCGGTTGTCATGGAGATGAATTGTGGGCTGGAAACCAACGCAACGGGTAGCAGTTCCAAAGATGCTGGCCAGTTCAATTCCTTCTGCTCTATGAGCTTTGTGAAGATTTCTACGACGTCCTCTGGTGACGTGTTCTGGAGTAACTTGAGGTTGTTGGTGTTGTTGTTGTTATTTGTTGTAGGAATTATTCAGAAAAACAATCAATCAATCAACCAACTAACTAAACAACCAACCAAACAACCACCCAACCAACCACCCAACCAACCAACCAACCAACCAACCAACCAACCCAACCAATCAACCAATCAACCAACCCAACCAATCAACCAATCAACCAACCCAACCAACCAATCAACCCTAACCCTAGCCCTAACCAACCAACCAACCAACCAACCAACTTAACCAACCCAATCAACCAAACCAACCAACCAATCGAATTTCTATAGCGCAATTTTTCGTGCACCATAAACGAACTTGCGAGTTAAAACGGTTATAATAATTTAAAAAAAAAACAAAATAAGATAAAAATAATATTATTATAGATAAAAATAATATTATTATAGATAAAAATAATATTATAGATAAAAATAATATTATCATAGATAAAAATAATATTATTATAGATAAAAATAATATTATAGATAAAAATAATATTATCATAGATAAAAATAATATTATTATAGATAAAAATAATATTATTATAGATAAAAATAATATTATTATAGATAAAAATAATATTATAAATAAAAATGATATTATCATAGATAAAAATAATAATCAAAAAAAAAGCAAAAAAACATTTACAAATAGGTAGACAAAAAAGAAGAGAAAGAGACACCCACGCTTTGATACAGAGACTTCGTGTTGGCATGGAGCCTGTTGTAATGGCATGCATCCAACTCCAAGAACAACTTCAAATCAAAAACTGGAAAAAATAATGAAAATATAACAACAACAACGACAACAACAACAGCAGCAGCAGAAACAACAACAACAGCAACAGCAAAAACAACAGCAGAAACAACAACAACAACAACAGCAGCAGCAGCAGAAACAACAACAACAGTAACAGCAAAAACAACAACAATAACAATAATAATAATAATAACAATGAATTAAACATAAGAATCAAAATAGCACATTTCTGGTGAGCCGGCTTCGTTAAAATCAAAGAGAGCTGCCTGTTGAAGTACTTGCGTAGGATGACGTCATCAATAGCGTAACGAGAGGTGGCGTGATCTCTCTTCTCGTGTCGCCCGCCATCGTCGGTGGGCGCTCGCTGCATAGAAGCTACGACGTCATAGAGTTGAAGGTCGAACTTTTGGTGCGGCTTGTTTGTGAGTTCTGTAGGGGTGCAGTGATCATCATGATGATGAAGATAATTGTGGCGATGATGATGGTGATGACGCTGATGATAGTGATGATGATGAGTTGAGGACAATAATAATAATAATAATAAAAAGAAGAAGAAGAAGAAGAGTATGATGGCAAACGAGAAACAAAAAAAAACAAAAAGTGAAAAACCCAAAAAACTAAATATTACGTTTCGTAATGTTATCTAACAGTGCTGACGAGACCTTTAAATGAAAAAAAAAATAATAAATTATTATTACTAACAATTGAAACAAAAGAAAATATAATAACAACAACAACAACAATAATAATAATAATAATATAAATAATAATAACAAAAAAACGAAGAAATAATTGAATAAAAATTGAAAATGGAATAAAGCAAGAAACCTACGTTTTTCAAACCTCTGGCCGTGACGTCATCCTCATTATGACTCGGCTGGTTAAGAGCGAACCTCAATAGAGAGCTCATGACGTCAGCGATTATCGTTCGTTTGTAATTTAATTTCTTTGCAATGTCATCACCCACCTCATCCTCATCTTTATTATTATTTTTATTATTGTTATTATTATTATTATTCTATTTTTATTATTATTATTACAACTACTACCATCACTTTTATACTTTTATTATTAGTAATAAAAATAATATTATCAACAGTGTCACTAGCGGTAATAGTATTTCCACCAAAAAAAAGGTTAAAGGTTAAAGGTCAGTGACACTTTTCCAAAGTTCAGCGGATTGAACAAAGGGCACATATGAATACATGCTAAGCGACGCATCACACACGAAGCATGTGATAATCGGGGATCTTCTTGTCATATTCGAACCCGGTTACTGCGAAACAGCTCCAGGCGACCTTAACCACTAGACCATCACGCCGCCCAATAGTTGTCGCAGCAGCAGTAGCGGCAATGGCAACAGCAGCCGTAGCAGTGGCGGTAGTAGTATTGTGTCTTCTTTTAGTCACCTTATTACCAACGTCATTGTTATCATCATCATCAGAATCGCTGGCATTCTCACCAGTGGTGGAGTTGCTGCATAACTTGTAGACGCTATCCGATACGCTGTTTATTGTGAGAGGTCGCTTCAAGTTACTGTCCAAGTTTTTGATTTGGAAATGAATGGATGGGTGAATGAATGAGTGAATGAATGTATGAATGAATGTGTGTATGAATGAATGAAAAAATAAACAAATATTAAATAAATAATTAATTTTTTCATACATTTATTCATTCGTCTATTCATTCATTCATTCAATCATTAATTCATTCATTCATCCATTCATTCATTCATATAACCTTCACCTTATGAAAAATAGGTCAAGCGTCATTATACCCTTAGAATGCAACAGCCAAATAAGCTCAAAGGGTAGGTAACCTATGGGCTTTATTAATTTATTATTTATCAATAATAATTATACTAATTGATTAATTAATCTAAATTATATCATAATAAAAGTATAAAATAATAATAAAAAAATAATTATAGTTAATTATTTTTGGCATTCACCTCTTTGTTAAGATTCTTTGCAAAGGTATTAATAGAGAATTCTTTTTTATCTATGTAGTGTTTGCAGGCTTTCATGACTACGGTTACATTGTTCTATGGGGTTTTAATAGTTTATCTTTACAGTATTTTATTTCTTAAATAAAAATAAAATGAATGAGCATAGCTAATGAAATTGAGATTCCTAAATTGATAAAATCATTTTCACCAGCAAAAATTATAATAATAATAAATTATATTTAATTATTACTGAAATAATAATAAAAAAAAGTTGACACCTCCTTAACTCTGTCCCCAATAAAAACTTCAATTCTCTCGCTAGATGTCATCTTTTTCAAGGCATCACTAAGTACGGTGGCAGACGATTTCGACAGTTTGGAATTCAACAGCGAAGAGTTCTGCTCGACAAGACTTATCAATCCCAGCACTTTTGGCAATTTAATCATTTAATCAGGAAATTTTTTCATTGGTGAAATATGAATTGCAAACAAACAGACAGACAAATAAAAAAACAGATAGAGGAAGAGACAAATACACAGGCATACAAACATACATAGTAATACCTTCAAAAATTTATAACTCAAAACAAAGTGGATGATCTTAGACAAACAGACAAATAGAATAGAAAGACAGACAGACATATAAACCCTTTAAAAATTTATATTTAAAAAAATATATGATCTTAGACATACAGACAAACAAGCAAATACAATGATACTCTCAAAAAAGTTAACTTTATCTTAACTTTATCTTTATCTTAAATTGTCTTATATATCAGATTAGTACTAAAAAACTAAACTAATAACAATTAGATTAGTGAAACCTACAAGATGGTTCAGATAAGACACTTGCATTGTATTTAGCACCTACATCATTGTCATTCATCTATGAAGGAAAATAAAAGAAATCAATTTTTTTAACTAATGTATGTAGTAGTACATAGAACAGATTGGTTATTTATTTTTTGATTTAAAATTTAAACTAAAAAATTGAAAATGATTTAAATTTGATAAATTTTTAGTTCAATTTATAATTTGAAATAAATTAATTAAACGTCTAATTAATGTTAATTTAACATTACATACTTATTTAAAAGTTTACTTTATTTTAAAAATTAAATACAAAATTTAATTTAAGAAATATCAAAAAATCATTAAAAATATTTTTCAAACTTCATGCAAAAGGGCATCAATGTCTTCATGCTCCATAATCAAGTCCAATATCTCTTTAACGTAATCATCCGAACTTTCCGACATCTTCATGAATTTTTTTTCTATTTTATTTTTATTTTTAAAATGTAAAAATGTGGGAATTTAAATTTTGAATGAAACTAAAAGTGAATTTGACAACTAAAAGTAAATTTATCTTTAAAAAAATGTAGCGTTGTAGCGCCTAATATTAATTTACTATATACATATAACATATATACATATCTATACCATGGATATATATATAATATCCATGATCTATACATATATATATATATATTTTTCAAATATATAGAATATATACATTATATTATGTTATATATTATGTTATATTCTATATGTTTTTTTTTATTTATGTACTATATTTATTACCTATTAATAATTATTTATATTTCTGGCAACATATCTTCATTCGTTCATTCGTTCGTTCGTTCATTCGTTCGTTCGTTCACCTATTCATTCATTTATTCATTCAGCCATTTATTTAGATAAATTCAACTTTTTAAATTTTCTTTTCGAAGTTTTGCCTTTTTTGCAGTATTTGGTGGCTGAACCACTTTTACTATCACCATCACCATCATCAGCAGCATCATCATCACCATCAACATCATCATCATCATTATCATCGTCGTCGTCATTGCCATTATCTATGATTTTATCGGATTTTTTTCTGATATTTTCTCTTCCATTTTCTTCCTTTTCAGCAAAAATGCATGCCTCCTGACGTCATCATGACAGGGCACCCAAGTCATACGGTCGTAATTCTTCTCAATGTTGTACAACTTCGTCAAGAGAAAAACATTTTCAAAAATTTATAAAAATGTTAGAATTGAAACATAACAATTATGTATTGAGGAGTGAATGTCTGAGAGAATGTTTCAAATAGGTGGAGTGGATTCTAATGCAAAGAAGCAGTGTAACGCATTGTTGCCTGGTGGAGGTCAGGTTCGAACGCGAAGGTAATCTCTTTTAACAAATTCACATGTGTGTATCTACATTGTATGGTCATTAAATGTTGAAAATCACTATTAAATATAGGACCAAACTTAAGCTATATTAACTTTATTTTAAGAATTTGATCAGCCGGTGTATGAAATTCAATACAATTGAAAATTTCATATAAATAAATTAGTTAAGCAAATATTTTCAAACTATGCACCAGGGTCATGAAACTGTAAGCTTCTTGTGAAATTTTGCCTTGGCAGGATCTTGGATCGACGAAGTGAATGGACTTTGAAATAAAATGATTCTATTATTCACAATTTGAAGAGGTAATTTGATTTTTTTACAATTTGATAACCAGTCATTTTCGAAAAAAGAAAATAAATCGTCACTTATTTGTTTAAAATGAAAAGTCAGTCAACAAGCCCATAATTGAATTACTAAAAATTCAAACAAACAACCAGCCGACCGACCAGCCAACGAACCAATCAACCAACTAATCAATCAACCAACTAATCAATCAATCAACCAGCCGACCAACCAATCAACCAGCCGACCAACCAATCAACAAATCAATCACCTCTCCCATGATCATATCATGAAATACAGAACTCAGTCCTTCGAAATCAATGAAAAGGGCTGGGTATAGGGCTTGAACGGATGGGTACATTTTGGCCGAATCAAAGTCAATCAGCTTAACTTGGCCACTCTTGTTGGTCATCATAATGTTGGTTGTGTTGATGTCGCTGATGATGGAAATATTAATGATGGCGATAAAGATGATGATGTTGATTAATTATAAACATTTCATCATCAATATAGCAAAGAAATCCTTATATAAAAACAATACGCTCTCATATAGTCTCACTCACACATGCACACACGCATACACTCACACACCACACACACATACACACACACACCACACACACACATATACATATTCACACACACACACACCACGCACACACGCACACTCACATACACACGCATACACACAAATACCCATACCCATGTACAATATTTAGATGATGAAGATGCGCGATACCCGCCAAAACTCCAGATACAATCGATTTTGAATCTTCTTCCCTCAGATTCCCTCGCTCTTTTATCAAATTTCTTAACGTGCCGTGTTTGATATACTCCATCACTTCAAATATGTGACTCTTATGTTTATATATATTTTTTTGAATATTAAATTTAAATAATGTCATTTAATTATATCTGAAAAAATAAAATAATATATCTCTTTATTCATGATATTTATTGGTTCCTTCGATGTGCTATCTCGTGTTTATTCATTCACAGATTAATCAGTAATGTCACTATGAATTTGTATTTGTTTATACATTCTTTCGTTCTTGTTTGTTCATTCATTCATTCATTTGTTCGTTCATTCATTCATTCGTTCGTTCATCTATCCATCCATCCATCCATCCATTCATCCGTCCGTCCGTCCATCCACCCATCCATTCATCCATCCATCCATCCATTCATTCAACATACCTCACTTGCAGCGAATTCCAGGCAGGCGACGATGAAAGGAGAGGGTTCGGTGACCAGCGTTATGAAAAGTTTGTTGTAAGTAGAAAGTTCCTCATCCGTTTTGGTGGCTTTGCTCGTCGCTTTTGCTACCACTTTTCTGCCCATCAACGTGTCGTACGCTAGCAAAACTTTCTGTTTGTGTATGTGTGTGTGTATGTGTTTGTTTGTTTGTGTGTGTGTGTATGTGCGTGTGTTTGTGTGTGTGTATGTGTTTGTGTGTGTGTATGAGTGTGTGTGTTTGTGAGTGTGTGTTCAGTTTTTGTATTTGTTCGGTGTGTCTTGCTTGTATCTGTTTGAAAGAATTGGTGGATATTTCAGTAGCCTTTGACTGGTGTGATGACCCATTGAAAGGTTGAATGATTGATTTAGTATGTGAGTAAAGGATTGGATGATTGATTTAGTATGCTAGTAAAGGATTGAATGGTTGATTTATTATGTGAGTAAAGAATTGAATGATTGATTTAGTATGTGAGTAAAGGATTGAATGATTGATTTAATATGTGAGTAAAGGATTGAATGATTGATTTAGTATGTTAGTAAAGGATTGAATGATTGATTTTGTATGTGGGTAAAGGATTGAATGATTGATTTAGTATGTAAGTAAAGGATTGAATGATTGATTTAGTATGTGATTAAAGGATTGAATGATTTTTAGATTGAAATTCGGAAAATTGTTGAACTTTCTCACTTTGCTATTGTTCAAATTACTCCACAGTAATCCGATGTTCTTAAACTTAGGCTCTCCAAATAAATTAGCTTCCCTTGTTTGGCACAAAAATTTCTCGATTTCCATTTTTTTAAATTATAAATTATTTTATTTGTTTATATATATATATATATATTATTATACATATATTATTGTGATATATCATTAATTATTATAGAATTTATTATAGAATAACTGAATAAAGAAGATTTTCGAGTAAAATTGGTGTTTTTTTCATGAAAATTTTGGTGTGATCTTTAAAACGTCTAAAAAAAATTTTGACATTTTTGTATAAGTTGAAATTTTAATGGCATTTTTTTTTGGTTGGCACATTATTTTTGTTTGTATTTTTTCTGTTTACATTTCGTTGTTTACATTCTTGTGTTTGTTAACATTTTGTTGTTCAAATTTCTTTTTGTGACGTTACTTTGTCAATAGCAAAACTTAAATTCATTTTTTTTAAAGTTTCAGTCATGGGTGAGTTTTGGAAAGGTCAAAGGTGGCCCAATTTGGTTAAAAAACACTAGTGTAGTGGTTTAAAGCGTTTGGTTCTGCGTTAGAGTTTCTGGGTTTGATTGCAAAAAGAATCCTGGCTATCATATAAATAGTGATTGATGAGTTGATTCCATTGTATTCATATGAGTTGTGTTGTTGTAATTGCAACGTTGCAGTTGTAACTACAAAGTTAGAACAACTACATACATACATACAATAGCAGTTAGAACAACTACATACATGCATACAATAGCAGTTAGAACAACTACATACATACATACAATAGCAGTTAGAACAACTACATACATGCATACAATAGCAGTTAGAACAACTACATACATGCATACAATAGCAGTTAGAACAACTACATACATGCATACAATAGCAGTTAGAACAACTACATACATGCATACAATAGCCGTTAGAACAACTACATACATACATACAATAGCAGTTAGAACAACTACATACATACATACAATAGCAGTTAGAACAACTACATACATGCATACAATAGCAGTTAGAACAACTACATACATGCATACAATAGCAGTTAGAACAACTACATACATGCATACAATAGCAGTTACATACATACAACTACATTCATTCGCATCAAACAACAGTCTCATTCCTCTACCAACAATGAATCAGTCCAAGCCAGCACCACCAAGATATCTTAGACGAACACTCGCATAGCTCTAACAAAAGTAACCCTTCTAGAATTATAAATTTTTAGATCTGATTCATCAATTGAATCTTCACTCTAATGAATTCAATTAACATAACTTCCCGATTATTTTTAGGTTATAAAGTTTATAAAATTATAAAGTTAATTTTATTAACTTAATAAAACCGATAGACAGACAGACAGACATTGACAGACAGAAAATTAACATTTTAAAACAAGAATTTGTATGTTCAAGTTATCAAGTTACATGCTCTGAAAGCTGGAGTATCTTTTTGTTGCACAACCGCCATGTTAATAGGTCATCATATCAAAGGTTAACATCATATATAAATTGATACACACACACACTCACGCACGCAAGCACACACGCACACACATACACACACAATTATCTTTTTAATTTGATTTTGATAGATTTATCATTTGATATCATTGTTGATAATTTTTTTTAACAAATGTATTTGAGTGTGACTGATGTAAAGAAAGGTCGCTTCTTATTTGGAACAGAAGTAAAACTCTTGAAATCATTCATTTTATTGAAATATCTAGAAATAGAATGTAACTGAACGGTAAGGATGAAAAAACATGCAATCATTTCCTTGCAGCAGATAATAAATAGGGCGGGCTAGACGCGTGTACATCCAAACACAATCGTACACACACACACACACACACACACACACCATACACACACACACACACACATATATATAAATATATATATATATAATTTATCATAATACTACAATTATTATATCCAATCAAGTAATTTAAATATGATTCCATTGAAAAAGCATCTGTCTATAAGGCACATTGACAAGAAAAGCAAATGTACGAAACGAAAATAATTTGATTTATGATAAAAAGTGTTTACACACACATCACACACTCCAGCACATACACACACACATACACATACACACACATGCAAACGCACACACATACACGCACATACAAACACACACACATACACACACATTAAAATATCAATGAATTAACTTAAAAAGCTTTTCATTTTTTTTTCCTAATAATTTTTAAATAATATGGCGTTACTATATCGTTTATGTGTGCGTGTGTGTGCGTGCGTGCGTGCGTGTGCGTGTGTGTGTGTTTGCGTGTTAAATTTTAAATAATAGTTGGAAACGTTTGACAGTATAACAAGAAAATTCTGATGGAAGATAGCGAAGTCTTCAAGAAATTAGGAGGAAAAATGCTGCTTGCTACAAAACTTAAAAATAAGAAGGGGGTAAAATTGACATTTGAAACACATATCAGATAAGACAACAACATATTTTACTAGTGTTAAAAATAAAATCTTGAAAAAAAAGAAGTTTAGACTGAATTTTATATTAAAACACATAGAATGTGAAAATTATGTTAGATTCCTACTGCTAAATAAAAATTTCCTTGTTATGTAGTCACCATCACAATCACCATTTTCATCACCATCACAATCATCATCACAATCATAATCTTCATCACCATCATTATAGCAATCATCATCTTCTTCATCATCTTCTTCATCGTCGTCAGCATGATATCACCATCATAATTGTCATCACAATCATAATCTTCATCACCATCATCATAGCAATCATCATCTTCTTCATCATCTTCATCACCATCGCCATAACCACGTCATCACAATCACCACCATCACCCCAAAACTTCATCAGAAGACGGAACCTTCTTAGCAGCATCACCATCCTCATTTTTCTCACCCTTCTTTTCCAGAGGTTCCATCTGTTGTTGATCCTGATCAGGTTTTTTGTACCACGACTCGATATCTTCAATGGTTTGTGGCAGGGGTCTGTTTAGAGTTTCTGGTAAAAATAGGACTAGTAAACCGCCGGCTATTGATAGAACTCCGAACAAAGACCCAGAAAGTGCGGAGTGTGTTTCCAGCTGTGTGCGTGTGTGTGTGTGTTTATGTGTGCGTGTGTGTGTGTTTACGTGTGCGTGTGTGTGTGTGTTTACGTGTGTGTGTGTGTTTGTGTGTATGTGCGTGTGTGTGTGTGTGTGGTTTGGAAGTGAATGAAACTGTGCGTGGCACTGTGTGTGGCGTGTATGTGAGTGCGGCGTGTGTGTGAATGAATTTTGTGTAAGTGTGTGTTTCTAGTTAGATTTGTTTGTGTGTTTTGTGTATGTGCGTGTGTGTGTGTGTGTGTTTGTGTGTGTTGTTGTTTATGAAAGAAAACTAACGAAGTACGAGTTGAAGGTGGCTAACATATTTCCAACTCTACCGAACAATGACGCTATGCCAAGAGCTTGGTTTCTTTAGTGTAATAATAGCAGTAATATAATAATTTTTATAAGTGAATTCATCCACAAATCGAAAGTGAAATTCACATCCTCAAATCGAAAGTGAAACTCATCCACAAATCGAAAGTGAAACCTCAGAGTAGTAGGAAAGATTTCAGGAGCGTAGAGAAAGACGATACCGAACGAGCCGGTAATTCCGAATTTGCCAAGCATGTTGAATAAGATTATTGCCGGCAGCCATTTCTCTCTATACCCTGTTGAAATAATTAATAATTAATTAATAATAATTATTATATAATTATATGATTAAATCTTCTTTACAATTCTCTTCTAAGCTTTTCTCAGAGCTATAACAACAGACGAACACAAAATGTGTATTAGTACAAGTGAGTCAGTCCACCATCATCGTCCAGACGGACAACATCATCATACTGACCGTATTGCGGATGGTCAAGGTAAGCATTGGCGAGTAAGCCAAGACCCGCTATTAAATGATAAGCTATCAAAGGATATCTTCTTCCGAATCTATAATTAATCATAATTAATATAATTAACCATATTTAGTTTTATAATTAATAATAATAATAATTATTATTATTATAAATAAAAAATGAAATTATGAAAGGTTAAAAATGCAAGAAGCTTACGTAATCTACAATCAAAACCTAACATTCAAAGAACATTTTGAATAAAAAAAAACACTGAAACAAGCCACAAACAGACAACATCAACAATACAAACTACGCCGAGAAATACCTTTTCAGTACAAAATATGACGAGGTATAAGCCGGTATTTCCACTACGGCGTTCAAGAATCCATTCAAATACCTGTTGCCAGCAAGTTGGGCGGTACTAAGCGACAGACCGTAGTAGACTAGCGTCACCACCATCCTTGAAAATTTTTTGGTGATTTTGAATTTTTGTGTGAGTATGGGGTAAAAATTGTGGATATTGGCTGTGATTTTTGTTACATTTAGCAATTTTAGTTATTTTCAATAGTTTTTTCATTCATCTTATCAAGTGTTTGACGTTGTAAGAGTTAATTAATTACCGAAAACAATTTTGTTGTCTTATTATAATTGACAATATAAATAAATTATAACCATTATTATTATTAATTAACTAAATTTTAATTAATTTGTTAAAATAACAACGGTACACACACACACATCGCAAGACGGGACTCAAAACTTTACAAATATTGAACGTTAATGTGGTTGATCGCTGCGCTCAAATCAGTAATTACTCAGATTCAAAGTTTAGTGATAAAATTTTTGTGGATTGCAAATAAATTTTCTGCTAGATTGTAGGCTATATGCATTGGCCCATAGGCTTATCATTTTGTTGAAGTACTGGCCAATTGGATAAGTATTGGATATCACAAAAGTAAGATTCCTTTGTTGAACTAAGAATGGATTTTTAAACTGACCATAAGATAGACATGATGCCAGCGTACATGGTCAGACGTTTGTTCTTTAATAGGTCCAGTATGGTGTATTTAGCTTTCGTGTCTGTTGGAAGAATTTGTGTTTTTCAAAATTATTCAAATTTTATGTTTGTAAACTTAATTGTGTTAATTTACAATCAATCAATCGACCAACTAATTAATTGACTAATTAATTAGCTAACTGATTAGTTGAGTAATTTTTTAAAGTCATCAAAGTATGTTATTTTTAGATTCAATATAATCGTAATTAATGAGGTTTACTTAATTACAATAAAACATAATTCTAATCATCTCCACCAAAATTGACGTCATCATTTTCACCATCATCATCATCACAACATTATCATCACCATCATCATCATCATCATCATCATCATCACAACCTTCAGTTTTTTCTTCCTTTTTAAAGATTTTCATCAATCTCTCCTTCCTACTCCTAATTTTCTTCCCAACCTCGCCGTCCTTTGCATCGGCGGAACAGTCCAGGATGGGATCTGGCATCATGATTTTGTTCATCTTGGCGGCGTTCTTTATTACTCTTTCCGCTTCCTGTATTTTGCCGTTCGCGGATAGCCATAGAACTGATTCCGGTAGCAACCTATTTTTGGTGGTTGTGTTTGAAGTGTTCTGGTGAAGTTCTTGATAGGCAAAAAAAAATTCGTCTGAACATTTTATGTCAACTTTGTATGGTAGAATTTAAAATTAATTTGACAACTTTTTTGATGTCACGCACGCAATCAAAAAAAAGAGAGCAAGAGAAATTAGAAAGAGAGAGAGAGAGGAAAAAGAGAGAGGAGAGAGAGAAAGAGACAAACATACAACTAACCAGTAAAGAGGGATAGTAAACATTCCACTGAGACTGATGAATATCTGTAGGTACTGCCAGTTCTTAAAGAGGAAAGCGAAGAGTGGAAAGACACACCAGGCCACCGCCCAAAAATTTTCGATGATGGTTCCCGCAAATGTTCTGTGCTTGGCTGCAAACAGCTCACAAGCGAGGACAAATCCGGTCAAGAGGATCCCCTATGGGTACGTTGATCACAAATTTATGAAACTTATGCTGATGACTGATCCGTCAACCTATAAACTTTTAACTTACATTCAATTTCAATTTATAACTCTTCATTCTGTTCTCGCCGAATGATTGTCAATACCGATGTTTTTAACTATAGCGTCATCATCGTTGCATCCTCATCTCCATCATCATCATCATTATCACCTCTTCACATTATTATCCTCATCATCATTATCACCTTTTTGCATCATCATCATCATTACCATCTCGTCAAATCATCACCCTCATCATCATCATCTTCCTCCCAAAGTTAACCTGCTGCAAGGCTCCTGTTAGAAACCTCATGGCGCAAAAAAAGTATATATTAGGACTAAGGGCCGTTCCAATACCGACGACCACCATGCACCACTGGCTGAGTAGGAAGATCGGTTTCCTACCGAATCGATCGGATAGTGCGGTAAAGAGAACCGCTCCAAGCATGACACCGACGACGAGTAGCGTCTGTGTCGTCTGCGCTATGTAGCCGAGGTCGCAAACTAAATCCCACTATTGTGGTGGTGGTGGCGGTGAAGAAGATGAAGAGGAAATGATGATGGAATGATCTGATCCGATCCGATACGATACGATACGATATATGATGATGTGATGATGGCGACGATAATGACTGTGATAACATCGATCCTAATAACTTACACATATTCTCACCTGCACAACTTAAACGCACGCACACACAAACAACAACAAAACATACAAACAATTGATTAGACAGACAAACAAATGAATGAAAAAATCATCAGACAGACAGGAAACGGATGGACGGACAGACAGACAAACAGCTAGACAGACAGTCAGACAGACGTATAAATTCTCCACCTTTGTAACAACGGTGGGCCCATCCTCTCCGTGATACTGCCAGCCGTCATCACATTTTTTGGTTTCAAGACTGTTGGGATAATCCACGTACATCATGCAGGAAGATGGTTTTCCATCTTCGTACGGTATGGTTTGGTTGAATTCGGCATAGTCTGGTACCTTACAGTTGTGTGGAGGTTTGTAGCCTGTGTGTGTGTGTAACAACAACGGAGCATTTTACCACCAACAAACTACAAAAATATCATTCGACTTATACAAAAAACTGACCAATCAAACAAGGGTCAATCAACAGACCAATCGAAGGCTTAATAGCTAACCAATCATTGTCGACCAGCCAATAAACCAACCGACCAACCATTTAACCAAACAACCAATCAGCTAACCAGCTAACCAACCAGCTAACCAGCTAACCAATTAGCTAACCAACCAGCTAACAAACCAGCTAACAAACCAGCTAACCAACCAGCTAACCAACCAGCTAACAAACCAGCTAACCAACCAGCTAACCAACCAGCTAACCAATATAGACAATGGCAACCATATGCCAGCCAGCTGGAAACATGACGGCAAAACTGAGCATAAGAAAGTAGCAGACCTGCCATCTACCGACGGACCCCAGCATACTCAAGGCTTGGTCTATTTCCATTTTGTCGCTTTTGGTTGTTGTTTGTGTTTGTTTGTTATTTTTTGTATGTTTATCTGTCTGTCTCGCTTCCTGTCTATCTGTTTGTTTTTATTATTGTGAATAATTGTAGGTGTGTTTAAATGTCATCCGTTTTTGATCTTGATGTTATTAATGTTATTCTTCTTTTTCTTATTATTATTATTTTAACGATTCAATTTCCATTGATATTTCCTTAAGATGAATGTGATCCGTTGATTTTGATGTAATCTTTTTCTTCTTATTGTTGTTATTATTGTTATTATTATTACTATTATTATTTCAGATGATGGTGATGATGATGATTACGACGATGTTGATGATGATTAAGAGAAAAAATATAAGAAATTTTATTTTTTTATTCAAGTTCTCTTTTCTGAAAAGGATTAATTTTTACGGTAATAACTCAAACAAGGTAGCAAAGTTTACCTCGTTCCTGCGTTGTTGTTGCTGTTATTATTATTATTATTATAGTTGTTGTTGTTGTTACTGACGTTGTTATAATTATTGTTATAAGTGTTCAAGTTGTTGTTATTGGTTGTTTTTTTTTATAGATGATGATTGTTGTTAATCAGAAGATGCACAACTCATCTGAAATTGGATATGGCATAATAAAATATGTATGCAGGTTTGTATGTATGTATGTTTATGTATGTATGTATGTATGTATGTATGTATGTATGTATGTATGTATGTATGTATGTATGTATGTATGTATGTATGTATGTATGTATGTATTTATGTATGTATGTATGTATGTATGTATGTATGTATGTATGTATGTATGTATGTATGTATGTATGTATGTATGTATGTATGTATGTTAAAACATATTGTATATTTGTGTGTTTTTACTCAGAGGTAATTTACTTGGTTCATGTTTAGGTATATTAGTATGGGGTATGTATTTTTGTATTACTACGTTTGTTTGTTTGCTTGTTTGTGTGGTATTTAAGTGTGTGTGTTTATTGTGAAATGTATGTTTGTATGTACGTGTTTGTTTGTGTTATCTGTATGTATGTATGTGTTAGTGTTAGTTGTATATAATTGTATGCAATTTGTATATAAGTTGTAAAAAACACATATACAAACATTTCCTGTTTAATTTCATGTAAATTTTGTTCGCATATTCTGACGTACGTACAAACACATATACAAACACACATACAAACATACATAAAAACATACATTCAAACTACATACAAATACTAACCCATACAAACATACATACAAACATAAATACATACATTCAAACTACATACAAATACTAACCCATACAAACATATATACAAATACTAACCCATACAAACATACATACAAACATACATACATACATACTTCAATTTGTGTATTGCCAATGTTTACATTAAACGCAATTTTCCCAAAAATTTCTCAGGTTAGTTTAGCATCAAATGCCTTCTGGCACTTAACATAACTCCAGGTTAACAATGCCACACAAACAATCACTCACACAAACAAACAAACACACACAGACAGACAGAGAGACAAACACAAATTATTTAAAATGATAAACAAATAATGATAGTATCATAAAAATAAACCCACTTATGATATTATATCTCCAAGCCAATAATGATGGCTCTATGTTCGTTAATAGAAAATATTGTATTGTTCCGTCTTTGTGTTTTTGTTTTCACAGCGATTTTGATTGTAACTTAATTAATTTGATTGTAACTTCATTAATAGAAAAATTCAAATAATGATTAGCAAATAATATTCAAGAGCGTTTACAAAAGAGACGGGGGGGAGGGGTAGGGGGGGAGGGGTAGGGGAAATTCCAACATCCTTCAAATGAAAAAAAAATTTATTCTAAAAAAACTGGTTGAAACTGTTTTAATTTTTGTAGCCGACAATAAAAAAAAACTATTTGTTACTAATAACGTTAGCACTTTCAACTATATATGTAGAAAATTCTAGATGAACTACGGAGAATTTTAACACCCAACCTCTGCTAGCATCTGATCAGTGTTACTATGATTATAACAGATATATAGCTCTTTTAATATTTTGTTATATAGTCTTAGTTTTAGTTAAATGTTAAATCCGAAAAAATTATCTCTAACAAATACATTTATATATATATAGTTATATTTAGGATTCAAACTATCAGATATACAGCCTTATTATATATGGTATTTATGTGTGTGTGTGTGTTTATTGTGAAATGTATGTTTGTAGGTACGTGTATGTTTATGTTATCTGTATGTATGTATGTGTTGGTGTTATATATATATATATTTCTTGTTTTGTAACTTTAAAATCAAAAATTCCAGCATGAAATACGCTTGAAATACTAACACCATTGAATGCCCAATTACTAGCAAGTACTCCTACAAAAAAATACTTTTACGACAGCAGATGATTACTTAAAAATACTTATTTATAACGCTAATAATTAAAATTTTATAATTATATAAAATTATAAAATATAAAGTTTTATTTCAAATTTTCTCACAGAAATGATGAGAATTTTATTTCATTTCAAAATCGAAAGACTATATACATACCAACACCAGAACTCTTATTAATATTCAAAATTAATTAATCAATCAATTAGCTTATAAAAACTCAATTAACAAATATTAAAATTTATTTGATATATTGCAAGACTAAACAAATTTGTTTAAAAAAATTAACACCAAAAATTTTTCAAAAGTTCTTAACCTATGATACAAACGAACGAATCAGATGTTAAATAGTAACTTTAAAGAATATGTGTGTATGTATATATATATATATATATATATATATGTGTGTGTGTGTGTGTGTGTGTGTGTGTGGTTGTATGTGTGTGTGATCGTGTGTGTGTGTGTATGTATGTGATCGTGTGTGTGCGTGTGTGTGCGTGTGTGTGAGCGTGTGAACGTCATTTCCACTTTGAATGGCGCGTTTTATGTTGTTTGTAGTAGTTAACTACTGCGTCCCGGGTGACATAAATTGGATATTATTTACATATATATACACACACACAGACACACACACACATGTTTGTTTCAACTTTGTCAATGATAATATTTATGCATTTTTTTTATTACTTATTCACTATACAATGTTCTATCACGGATATTTCTATTAGACATGCTACACAACCACACAGACGAACAAACACACACACACAGACGTACAAGCACACACACACGTACACGCACACATATATACAACAGTATTAATCATCAAAACGATACTTATTTAGTACCAGCAGTATTATCTGACAGTGACATAGTTATTACTAACGGGATGAATTTTGCTATTATAAGTGTTGTTATTGTTGATATTAATGTTAATACCATTATTGTTATTACACACAGACACACACACACATACACACACAAACGCACACAGACACACACAAACGCACACACCAACACACACACACACAAACGCACACACCAACACACACACACAGACACACACACAGACACACACAAAACACACACACACACACCCACACTCATATAATTTGATTACAGTAAGACATATACTATATACAATCGTGATTAATAAATGAATAATAGAAATACTCTTTCTATTTTTACATATACTAACTTTCTTCTTCAATAGTTCGATGCCTCTACTAGAAAAAAAAATCATAATAGAATAATTATAAGATAATAATAATATTATAATATAATAATAATAATAAAATAATAAAAAAATATAATAATGGATTAGAATAGAAGCCCAAGAACCCTGAGGGAACATAGTGTTATTATTATTTTCATTATAACTACTATTATTCTTATTATTATTATTATTATTATTGTTGTTGTTATAATTACTATTATTATTAATACTATTATTATTATTTTGCGTGATTGTTGTTGTTAAATTGAAGCCACATGCTAACTTTAAAAGGACGACAGCCAGGCCTGTCAGCATCCTGAACGACAATCAAAATGGTAAAAAGATTTTGTTTGATAACGTGAATAGCTATAATTACAATGGTAAAGATGAAAAAGAAGAATATGATAGTGATGCGAATGATGACAAA